TAGAATTGGAAAAGAAAACAACAAAAAAATTAGAATTGGGCAAATGGAAACTAATGACTTTATGAGACTTCAAGCAACAATAAAACAAAATCAAAAGAATGAAAAAATAGAAAATGTGAAATATCTCATTGGAAAAACAACTGATATGGAAAATAGACCCAGGAAAGATCATTTAAGGATTATTGGACTACCTGAAAGCCATGATTAAAAAAAAAGAGCCTAGATATATTCCTTAAAGAAATTATCAAGGAAAACTGCCCTGCTATTCTAGAACCAGAGGGTAAAATTGAAATTGAAACAATCCACTGAGCAGCTTCTGAAAGAAATCCCAAAATGAAAATTCCCAGGAATTTTATAGCCAAATTCCAGAGCTCTGAGGTCAAGGAAAAATATTGTAACCAGCCAGAAAGAAACAATTGAAATATCATGGGACCGCTTTCAGTATAACATAAAATTTAGCAGTTTCTACATTAAAGGATTAGGGAGTTTGGAATATGATATTCCAGAGGGCAAAAAAACTTAGAATTACAACTAAGAATCACCTATCCAGTAAAAATGAGTATAATCCTTCAGGAAAAAATGGATATTCAGTGAAATAGAAGACTTTTAAGCATACCTGATGAAATGATCAGAATTGAATAGAAAATCTGATTTTCAAATACAAGATTCAAGAGAAGCATAAAAAGGTAAACAGGAAAGAGAAATCATAAGGGAATCAATCAGATTAAAGTGTTTATATTCCTGCATGGGAAAATGATACTTGTAACTCATAAAACCTTTCTCATTATTCAGATAGTTAGAAAGAGTATACATGGACAGAAGGCATAGCTGTGAGTTGAATACGGTGGGATGATTATCTAAATAAATAAAATTAAGGGGTGAGAAAGAGGAAAACACAGAGAAGGAGAAAGGAGAAGTAGAACGGGGTAAATTATCTGACATAAAAGAGGTGTAGAAGAGATTTTACAGTAGAGGGAAGATGGGAGAAGTGGCAGGGCAAGGGGAACCATACTCTCATTGGAATTGGCTCAAAGAAGGAATAACATAGACACTCAGTTGTATGTTGAAATCTAGATAAAAACCAAGATAGATTTGGGGCTGAAAGAATGGAAGGTGAATTGGGGGAAGTAAAAGTCAGAGGCAAAACACTTTTGAGAATAGACAGGATCAAAATAGAGAGAAAGAGTAAGAGAAACAGGTGAAAACAGAATGGGGGAAATACATAGTATTCATTACTGTGAAAAAAAATTACATCAACTTTTTCTGATAAAGACTTCATTATTCACACATATAGAGAGCTGAGCCAAATTTTTACAAATAAGAGCCATTCCTCAATTGATAAATGGTCAAAGGATATGAACAAGCAGTTTTCAGGTGAAGTAATCAAAGCTATCTATAGTCTTATGAAAAAAATGCTCTAAATCACTACTGACTAGAGAGAAATGCAAATTAAAACAACTCTGAGCTACCACCCCACACCTATCAGATTGGTTAATATGACAGAAAAGGCAAATGGCAAAGGTTGGAGGAAAAGTAAGAATAGTAAGACTTTAATGCACTGTGTTGGTGAAGTTGTATACTAATCTAACCATTCTGGAGAGGAATTTGGAACTATGCCCAAAGGACTATAAAAACCATGCACACCCTTTGACCAAGGAATACCACTACTAGGTCTGTTTCCAAAGCAATAAAAAGAAAACAAAAAGGAAAAGGATTTATATTTACAAAAATATTTATAGCAGCTCTTTTAGTGATGGCAAAGAACTGGAAATTAATGGGATGCTCATCAATTGGGGAATGGCAGAAGAAGTTGTAGTATATGATTGTGGTGGAATTCTATTATGCCATAAGAAGTGACAAGCTGTATGCTTTCAGAAAAACCTGGAAAGACTTACATGAACAGATGAAAAGTGAAGTGAGCAGAACCAGGAGAACATTATACACAGTAACAGCAATGTTGTACAATGCTCAATTGGGAATGACTTAGCTATTCTCAGCAATACAACGATGGAGGATAATTCCAAAGACAAAAAAAAATGCTACCTGCCTCTAGAGAAAGAACTGATGGAGTTTGACTGCGGATCAAAGCATACTGTTACTTTACTTTCTTTACTTTTCTTGTGTTTTTTAGGGGGTCTGTTTTCTTTCACAACATGACTAACACAGAAATATGTTTTGCTGACTGCTCATGTATCAACTTGCCTGCCTTATCAATGAGGAGGGAGTAGAAGGAGAAAGAATTTTGAATTCAAAATTTTAAAAAAATGAATGTTAAAAATTGTTTTTGCATGTAATAGGGAAAAATAAAATATCAAATAAATAACAAAAAAAAGAAAAAAATTAAGAAGTATAATATTCATGAGGAATAGGGCAACTAAGTGATACAGTGGATACAGTGCCAGACCTGAAGTCAGGAAGACTCATCTTCCTGAGTACAAATCTGGCCTTAAACATTTACTAGCTGTGGTAAGTCACTTACCCTTTTTGCCTCAGTTTCCTAATGGATAAAATGAGCTGGAGAAGGAAATGGCAAACCTCTCAGTATCTTTGTCAAAAAAACCCAAATGGGGTCACCAAGAGTCAGGCACTGAAACAACTGAACAACAAAAGGACGTTTGAGGGGGCAAAGGCCCTGGAATGAAGTTTCTGTCCCAAAATTGTTATGGGATACTCCGGTAAGGCAGAGCTGCCAGAGTAGAAATTTTCTATACTGCAATGCAGATCAGCATCTGGGATCTAAGTATAGTCTTTGAGCATTGCCTGGGGGCACTGTGAAGTGACATGTGTGTCTCAGAAAGGCAAGACCTGATCTGAGTCTTTTAGACTCCTAGGCTGGCAGCATTATACTAAGTTTCTCTGTCTTTCTTGGTAAGTCTTCACAAGCTGGAAGGGCTTTGAGCAGGTCTCCAGTGACAGACTGAGGTTTTCTGTTTGAGGTTTATCACTTGGTTCATTACAAGGTGATGGACTTTTCATCCAGTTTCAAAAACCACTCCCTAAGGGGCAGCTAGGTGATGCAGTGGATAGAGCTCCAGCCTTGGAGTCAGGAGGACCTGGGTTCAAATTTGGCCTCAGACACTTGACACCAGCTGTGTGACCTTAGGCAAGTCACTTAGCCCCACTGCCTAGCAAAAACAAAACAAAACAAAAAGACCACCTACTAAGTCAGAAGGGGAGATGAGAGAACCCTCCATCAGGCAACCACTCGTACAGCATGATGTGGGGAAAAGATGGGTGGACTTGAAGTCGGGGAGGCCTGGATTCCAATAATCCCTAGCTGTGAGATCAGGGGGCAAATCAAGCTCTCTCTAAGTCTTAGTTTCTTCATTTGTAAAATAGCAATAATGACTCTACCCTTGTGGAGTTATTGTGAGGATCAAATGATGTAGTGAATGTAAAATACTTTTAACCAGTTTTGAAGGGATCTGCAAATGTCAGCTATCATTACAACATAACTGACTTCCCACATTTTCATAGTAAAAATCTTTTCAGAGTGCTTTCCTTTAAGATTTTTTTTTTAAAAAAGAGAAGCCCAGGGGCAGCTAGGTGGTACAGTGGATAAAGGTCCAGCCTTGGAGTCAGTAGGACCTGAGTTCAAATGTGACCTCAGACACTTGACACTTACTAGCTGTGCGACCTTGGGCAAATCACTTAACCCCAATTGCCTTACCAAAAAAAAAAAAAAAAAAGAGAAGCCCATTTCCTTTTTCAAAGGGCATGAACTGTGATCTATGAAGAAAGATGGGAAAAAATTCTACTAATAATAAATCAGAATGAATGAGATACAAACTGGATCAAAAAAGAGGGGGTATGACTGTCTTCTAGGAACCGAAGTCCCAGAGGCTGGGTGGGACCCAATGGTGAAGGGAGTTATGAAATTCTGTCTAACAGGCCAGCCAGGTTTCCAACAAACTTTATAAAGCTACATTAAATATCTGAGTGGTATGCTTTTGTGTTTTTTATGCTTAGTTTTTGTAGAGGTGCTAACATCTTACCTGGGAAAAGAGTTACCTTCTCAAAAACAACTGACTCTTTAAAAAGATTTATATTGATATCTTTTTGTTGTTGTTTTTACACTTATATTTCCCCCCGATTTCCACTGTCCCCCAACCCCATCTCCCTTACAGAGCCATATCTTATAACAATTGACCTTTAAAAGAAGCATCCTTCCTGTTCTGCCGAGATGCTGGAGGACATCCCTTAGACAATTCACATAGCCCTGACAAATTTTCAAGTAAAGGGAGACAGCTTTACCAGCTCAGATCCATTTGCAAACCACTACTGTGTTGCATGAATGAAATAAGATGAACAACAGTTCATCAGTATAATCCAACACTCAATTCGACATAAAACACGCAAGAAAAATCGAGCTGCAGCCTTGTCTAGCCCTCTTGCATTACCCCAGCATAGGTAAGGAAGCTTCTTCTGCTTCCATCTCACATACTTGCAGAAATTAGCAAGCAGCCAGAGGTGAAACTGGCTCATCTTGCATCCTGCTGAAACCATCATCCCTCACCTCCTTTCTTCCCTGTGACTCTTCCATTATGGTCCAACATGTAAACAGATGCAAATGCGAAGACACCTATCCAAGCTCTCAGACTATCTCTAGCACATATGCAAACTGGAGGAAGATCTTGGAATTAACCCGTCGCCCCTGCCACCGCCCTCCTTGGCAAAGTCTGTTTTTTGCCCCCTGCCGCACTAGACTGCTGCCACAGGACCAGCAAGGACATCCTTTGAGGGAAAGGGAACAAAAGCCAATCAGTCCTAGTCCCAGCTGGTGCATCCAGGGATGCCTGCATTGTCTTCATCCAAGAGTAACAATGGAAATGGATTTTTTTTTTAATTGAGTAAAATGCATTTCATTCCCCACAAGGCACCCACTTCTTGTCCTGGGTTTTTTCTTTTCTTTTCTTCTTTTTTTTTTTTCTTTTGGCACCAACCTTAAAACAAACAAACAAGAAGACATAATAAAAGAAAACGGAGCCAGACTCTCTCACCTGAGGCTGCACCTGGATCGAGGGCGGTGAGAGGATGCAGGGATTGAGGAAATCCGCCTCACCTTTCTCCCCAGTGTTTGGAGATCCCTCTGGTGGTGTCTGGGCAAAGCATAGCGCGAGGGTGGGGCGAACATCCTGGCTGGGTTTGCAGGGCTAGGATCTCTCCTCCCCACAGATGATCACATGGTGCGAAAGTGGGTGGTCCTGTGGGGGCGGGGGATTGGTCCCGTATTAAGGTTTTCTTCCCGGTTCTAAGCTGTTTTTATCCCTGACCAGGTGAGGATAAAAAGCTCGCCTGGGAAGGCAGGAAGACTGCCAGTGTGTGCCAGTTTCTCTGCCTGTCTTCCTGCAGGCCTGGGATCATTCGCTCTGTGGGTCAGAGAAAAAGCAGGTCATGGAGACAGCGGCGAGGATCAAGAGCTGCCTGGCTCCAGGGCTGTTACGGGAGCAAGTGGCTATAGTTACCGGCGGCGGCACAGGCATTGGCAAGGCTATAGCCGCCGAGCTGCTGCACCTAGGTGTGTCCGTGTCTACGGCCGGTGCAGGGGAGAGGGCAGAACTGGGGACATTGAGCGGGAGGGGCAGAGTTGGGGCAGAGGACCCTGGGAGATGCTGGGGCAGTTTGGGGGGCCGTGGGGATAAAGCGGAGACGCTGAGGGCGAAAAGGGCAGAGCAGAAGACCCTCGAGGAGAGACGGGGAAAAGCAGGGTAACTCTGGGAGAGAGGGAAAGACACTGAGGCGAAAGGGTAGGGGCCTAAGCGTAGGAGCTGGTGGGACCCTGGGAGGAGAGGGCCGAGGGAACATGGAGAAGGGCCTGGAGATGATGTGGGAGAGGAACTGAGGGGACGTTAGGAGGAGGAGGAAAGGGGCTGTGGGGTCCTGTGGAAGAAGGTCTGGGCAAGACATGCACAGAGGGAGAGGGGCTGGTGCAGAGAGGGGGAGGGGGGCTGCCGTGACTAGGCCTGGGGAGCCAACGAAGGATAGGGTATGTGGAATCGGCGAATGAGGATAGGAACAAGTTGGAGGGCTGCTGGAGGGAGAAGAGCAATGGTTGGCAGGTGTCCGAAAGTTTTCTCTACTGAGAGAAATGAGAGGCATACTGGCAGGGGGTCCATGGATCAAAGGTAGGAGGCCAAACAGAAAGCAGGGATTTGTACTGGCACGCTGAGGAAAACCTGCTGATAGCGGCAACAACTTCAGAAATTATAAGATTTAGTTTTTTATAACATTTCAAGCCTATAGTCCAGAGTCAATCAGCAGCATTCCACTCACAATTTAGGATAAATCAGTAAGTTTCACAGCAGAAGGAGCAGTAGAGAAAGGGAGAGTCATTCAAGGGAGGAAAGGGAAGGCTTCTGGGGGAATACTTGCCAAGTAGGCTCGTGTGTTACCAGAATGAGAAGACGTTCCCTGTGGAGGGGCAGGAGAGATAAAAGGAAGTGACCAAATACTTGAGCAGAACTTAACCTCTCAGGATTGTCGTGAGTATCAAATGAGATACTATCTGTAAAGTACACTTGGAGTCAGGAAAAACTTCGTTTGAATTCTGCCTTTGATAGGTTCTAGTCCTGTGACACTGACAAATCACTCACCTATTCTCAGTCCTTTTCCTTATAGGAAGAATGGAAATAATCATAGTACCAGCCTCATGTGTTGTAATGAGGATCAAATGAGTTAACACTTAGCAAACATTCAAACCCTTTATAAAAGTTAGTTATCATCATTCTTATCATCATTATTATTATTACTTTTGTTATCACCTGAGGAGACAAATCTATACTAGATTGAATTGGGGGGCATTTTGTGATAATAAATTTTAGTAAAATGAGACAATTGATCCATTTAACAGATTTTTTTTTCATTGAATTGGCTAGATTTATTGGTATCGTGTTAACTTCTGTTACTCTTAGTATAAGAGTTGTTTTTACCAAATCAGAATTGCTGAAAGCCTTTATCATGTGATGATAAAATAATGGAATCTATCCTCCAGACTAATAGATGAGCATGGTTGAATACATAATACAGGAGTTTTTCTTATTTTGCATAAAGAAAGGGGAGGTAAGAAGGGAACATGAATTCATTAAGCACCTATGATGTTCCAGATATTATGCTAAACACTTTACAAATATTTCATTTGATCCTCAATAATCTTTTGAGGTAGGGGTATTATTAATCCCATTTTTACAATTGAAGAAACTGAGAAGTCAAGTTACTTGTCTAGGATCACACGGTTGGGAAGTGCCTGAGGCTAGTTTTGAACTTGGGGCTTTCTGATACCAGGCACAGTGCTCTATCCACTGTGCCACCTAGCTGCCCTAAAAGCAATGAAAGGCATAAGACTATAAATAATGAATATCTGCAATGTGACCACACCCCTACAAATTCTGAGATCCAAGTCACCTCCAAACCATATACATTCACTCTTCTGGAACCCAAGAGGTCTAGGAAAGGCACTGTTTGGTTGTTTTTATCCCTACTGCATCCTGAGCCATCTCCAGTCATCCTGATTGATATCTGGCCACTGGACCCAAATGGCTCTGGAGGAGAAAGTGAGGCTGACCCTCCTTCACTCAAATCAAAGTCAATTGCAAGTCATGTCATCATCTCCCCAATGTTATGGTCCTCTTTGAGAAGGAAGGATAAACCACACATAACCCTTTAGACAAAACCACAGGGTTGAGGTAAGCTTTGAGATGAGACTTCAATTGTCTCTTTTCTATTGTCTAGGACAATAAATAGTTATCAACAGTGGATCAGACCACTAGAGTTTACTGTGTTCTTGCATAGTTTATCATATTATGTTTCTTCTTTAATAGCAGTTGGGTCTTTTACTGTCCTAGTAGGCTTTATTACTCTATTAGACTTTCTATTATTAGGTCACCAGATGGTTGGGAGTGGGGGAGGTCTTTTACTATTCATTCATCAAAATGTTGCAAAATGATTGTGGTTCCTATCTGGGGCCAGAGTAAGGCTTGACTTGGAGTTAACTGTGACTTGGGCTTGAATGGTGCTTTACATTTAATTGCTATATTGTAAATTTGGGCAAGCCCCTTAACTTCACCTTCAGATTTCTCCTCTGGAACAAGCAGAAAATTCTTTTAGTTTCTACCTGTCACAGCTGTTGTGAAGATCAAGGAACAGAAAATGCAAAAAAAAAAATGCTTTGTAAACTTTAAATACTATATATTTTCTTCCCACTTTTGAAGAGACAAAAGGGGCTGAGAGGAAAATGAGGAGAGAGTCAGGACATAGGCGAGGAGTTATAGGAGAGCATTCTAAGTATAGCAAAGTAGATGGCATGAAGGTGTCACCCTTTCTTGGTACTATATCAGCCTTCAGTACGCCTAACATTATATTCATTCTCTTATTTTCATCTTTTGTCCCCAACTCTAGAGAAATCAGGGCAGCTAGCTGGTACAGTGGATAGAGCTCTGGGCCTGGAGTCAGGAAGACCTGAGTTCAAATTTGGCCCCAGATACTTACTAGCTGTGTGACCCTAGGCAAGTCATTTAACCTTCAGTTTGCCTCAGTTTCCTCATCTGGAGAAGAAAATGGTGAATCACCCCAGTGTCTTTGCCAAGAACACCCCAAATGGGTGCACTAAGAGTCCAACACAACTAGACAACAACAACGTATCTGGATATTTTCTTTCTAATTAATTAGCTTAAGGTTCAGAGGCTCATAGAACTGGAGCTGGAAGGCACCCTCGAGATCTGCTTGTAAAACCCTTTCATTTAACAAATAAAGAAACAAAGGATTCAGTAAAACATGGTCACCGGACCTTATATCTTGATCATGAAAGATGAATAGGTTTAGTTCAATTAGGAAAAACAAGTTGTGAACTCTTAGAAAAGAAGACCTCAAAGCATACTAGCCATATGACCATGGATAGGTCACTTGCCCTAGCTGGATCTCAGTTTACATCTGTAAAATGGGGATAACAACATAATAGCTACCTCAATGTTATGAGCTTCAAGTGAGATAGCATAGGAAAAGTGTGAACTTTAGGACATTTATGTAAATGTCAATTATTATCTTCTAACTATTTCCATTCAGTCAGTAACTAAGTGACACTGCATGTGAGAAGAACTGGGTTATATACAAAGATAAACAAGCTGTCTAACCACTCCTATACTCTATTAGTTTATTTCCTTTCTCCCAGTCCCACACTATGGGTATCTTTTAAAGTTCTGCCCTGGCTTTCTCTTCTATCTCTACATTCTTTCCCTTGTGATTTGATCCACATCCCTGCCCTGTATTCAATTATCACTTCTCTGTGGATGACTCCAAACTATACATGCTACTGTCTCTCCTGAGTCCCTGACCCACATTTCTACCCACCTACTGGGTGTTTTTGCATATAGGCCCCACTAGTGCCTCTAACTCAACACATCCAAATCTGAACCCATCCTCCTCAACTTTTGCAAACCTGCCCCTCCCTTCCAGTGTCCCTAGTTCTGTTGGTGGCACTACCATCTACCTGGTTCCTCAGGTTTGAAACTTCAGGAATTAGTTCTTTCTTCCCTCTCCTTTAGTGCTAACATCTATTTAGTTTCAAAGCTCTACCTGTTCCACCTATGAAATATTTCTCATGCCCATCCCCTCTACTCTGCTAAGTGTCCTGCCACCTTTATTCAAGGCTTTATGATTTCTTCCTGGACTCTTAACGACTCTCTGCCTCTATTCTTTCCTTTGGTCACTTCATCTTTTTAAATAGCTGCTAAAATAATCTTTCTTATCCTTAGATCTGATCTTGTCACTCCTTTGCTCAAAAAGTTTAGTGACTCCTCATTGCATTTGTGATAAAATTAAATTATTTTAGCACAGCATTCAAGGCCTTCTGTATTCTATTCCCAAATTACCTTTCCAGTTCTATTCATCTCTGTTCCCCTTTAGATATCTTTGTGCCAGTCAAGTTAGTCAGTTGTTCTTCGACTTTGTCCTGGCCTCTCCTGTCTTTTCTCCTTCGTGCAGATCATCTTTCAGACAGGGCATGCATTTTCTCTATAGCTCCATCTGCTGAAATTTCTCTCTTTAAGGCTCAGTATAGGTGCCACTC